ACAGTTCCAATTCAACCATGAGCTAGAGGAACCACAGCCCTATGATTCTGGAGTGCCGCAAGGTAGCCCCATGTCCCCGGTACTATTTATGATTTATGCCGGAGTAATCCTGGACCCAACACACAGCCCGAAAGAGATGGACACTACATACATCGATGATGATGCGCTGGTGCAAATATCTAAAACACCAGGCTTCATAATTGAAAGAATGGAGGAACGTATGAGAGAAAGATTAATAAAAGCCGAGCCACTCCAAATTAAATACGATCCGGATAAATCCGACCTGATCTTCTTCCGCCCCACTACATCATCCATACAACAACCACGACTTCCAGCCAAAATCAACAACACCACTATATACCCCAAGGAGAGGCTGAAATACGTAGGAGTCTGGATAGATCCGACCCTCTCCTTCCGGCCCCATATCAAAGCAGCGATCGCGAAAGGCCTTAAAGCCCTCCACCAAATCCGGAACACTGCCCACCTGCCAGGCATAACAGTTAAGACAATCCACCACCTAATAACACAAGGCTTCCTTCCAAGCCTGCTCTACGGATCCGAGGCTTGGTGGACTGGCGCAGACCACATTAAAAGATCCCTCGAACCACTATACAATGAAGCGGCCCGGGTCATCACTGGCCTACCACGATGGACCAAGAGAGCTAAACTCCTCCGAGAAGCAGGCCTACCCCCCCTAGAACATCTCCTGACATACCGCTCAAGAAAGTACGGAACCAGAATACTCTGCACCGATGCAACCCATCCCAACAATGAATCCCTGATCGAGCTCCTCCCATACAGAGAAGCAAATATCAAAGGGACAGGCCTACACCGAATCGCCTCCCTCCTACTCTCATACCAAACCCCCGGAAATGCGAGAGACAAGTGGAATCAAAATAAACTACTACGCGACCACCTGTTGGAAGAATGGAACACACAACCAATACCGAACTACCACCATCGGGGGGAATTCCACCCCCCTCCCAAGATTGCGAAACTCACCCTTACGGAAGCAAAAAAAATATTTCGAATCCGGTGCCAAACCACCCGAATCGACAAACACGCAGTACATACAGACCCCGAACCATGCCAGTGTGGTATGGAAAACTCAGCGAAACATATACTTATGGAATGCCCAGCATGGGCCCGAATCCGCGCCCCTCTGATAGAGAAGATCCCCGGAGCGATGACCTGGGAAAACTGGATGTTTACAAACCTGAGAACGGACCTGATCCTACAATTTGCAAAAAAATCTCAACTCTCGAAATGGTACGAGTCGGCGGAGGCGGAGGCGGACCTGGAAGAGGAGATGGAAGAAAATGATTAGGGACTGGATTAGGAAGGGCAGTTTCCTTTTACCTTTTAATTTTGTTTTATTTTTTTATTTATTGTGTTTTTTGTTTTGATGGATCCGGCGCCCGAGTCCGCTGAGATATGTTATTTCTCCTTGTCGTTGGGTTTTCTGGTTGAGTGTCGTTCCGGAATTTCCTTGTTTTTTTCGTGTTTGTTCGTGTTCGTTTTGTTTTTGTTTGTTTGTGTTCGTAGTTTTTCTTTTTCTCTTCTTTTTTTCGGTTTGTGTTTTAGGCGGTTGGTTCGGCGTGCGATAAGTCTTGTACTTGAAAGCAATATAAGTTTCTTCTTCTTCTTCTGTACTTTACAGTTACGAATACTATTTGGTTCGCGCTACATCATAGGGTTTACCCGGTATACTAGACCAGGTACAACCATCCATAGTCCATAGTCCACAGTCCCCATTCTTGCCTTAGGTGTACCCTTCGGCCCCATAGTCCATAGTCCACGAACCTCCTACGTTCACGTCTTCGCCTCGGTTGTATTCCTTGGCTTCATAGTTCCTACGCCCACAGTCCCCGTTATAGCTTCTTGTAAAGACTGAATTACTAAGTTGATTGAGTATCATAGGGTGAGTCCTAATGGAACGATTCTGCAAATTGATCTGACTGATTTCTAGCAGGAACAGTCAAGAGCAAGACAAGCAACAGGTACCAACAAAGAGGTTACAGATTTCATTTCTAATATGGATAATATTATCCTACTTGTCAACTCTGTTTCAGTTGACCAAGATATCCGTGAAAGGGTAAAAGCAAAACCGCAACGGAAAAAGGAATAGGGAAATGTAGTAAGAGTCTTATCCCTAGACGGGCTGGTTAGAAAGAGAGATATACAATAAGTTCAAGCAAATGAGACTACACCGGGCTCTCCTAGGGAAAGTCAACCTGCAACAAAAAGAGTGAAGAACTTTGAGGCAGTTGACATGAGGAAAACCTCGAAGGATCTTGATGCGGGTACTGAAATGTTTCAGGAAGAGTTGTGGGAGAGGGAGAGAAGAGAAAAGGACGAGTTATGGGAGAGAAAGAAAAGAGAAAAGAAGGGGTTTGAAAAGAGGGAAAGAAGAGAACAGGAGAGGCATGGAGGTGTTTGCAGGAGATTGGATGATTTGGTTGAGGTTATGCAGAGGGACAATGAACAGAGGTGGGAACAGAATCAATTGATGCAAAATCTTTTGTCGTATGTAATACAAGATAAAGAAAATCCGGGAAACAGATATCAGTCTTGATTCCTATCATGTACATAAAAATACTCTTCCAATGAAGGGGGTTGCGCAAACACTGGCATATCTTGTTCAGAAAAATCTTCGGGTATTCCTTCAACAGTAAAGTCTTGGAGTATCTGAGGGTGATGCAAACAAACATGCACATTATATAGAAGTACAGATATGATATACTGTAAACCAACTGGAGAAAGTAAAGTCTTCTGATTTTTGAAGTAGTCCACATATTCGAACTGTTGAATTACTTCTTTGAACGCCCATTCCACTACAATTCTAACACGAGAAATGACCTTATTCGAATCCCTCTCATTCTGAGTCACTGCAGCCCCCTGAAATGGCGATATCAAAAACCCGTTGATGCCATATGCTGGATCGCTATAAATCTGAACAGGGTTACTATTTGGTTTCTATGCATGAGCTTCAAGTATAGTAAGAATATCGCTTTATACCATAACAGTGGAATCATGTAACCGTCCTTCAACTGGGCCATACAGATGAACAATTAACCTATCAGGGGCCACGATAGCTTGGAATTTGAGACAATGATACCTCTTCCACCCGTTGTATACCGACTCTTGCCTATAAATCGGTCTTGTTATACGTCACATGGTACCATCCACAAAGCTCCAGCATGTTTCTAATGGTGCATCCTTCTCCTGTACTGCAATTTTGTAAGATGCTAACCTTTGGGGAGAGAGCAGATGTTGATAGAAAAATAATAGATATTTCCATTTATCGTGAATGTACTTCAGCAAAGTATTGCAAATCCGTGAGGTTCTTTCTGGTTTCCATCCAAATTGTAGATATAGGTCGCTTAGCCGTGAAGGGCAGGCCAACTGAGCCAACAACATGCAAAGTGCTTGTAGCTTTCCTTCTTTTATTCTATTGTCCCCGTGGATGTATTCAGGTAGCTGTAGGGCTTCAGATAGGTGTTCCACCTCTTGCTGGGTAAATCTAAAATAGGTTTTCCAGGCATCCGGGTGCAAAGTGTTCAAATCCAAGACCCCGCCCTCTCTTTCCTGCCCTCTCCATCTCGCATTGGTTTTTTTTAAATTTGATGATAAAAGACGAAGTTTGGCGATATCTCGCTGGCGCTTGTGTATGGCAGCATAGGCTGTGTACATTCGGTGCGAGACTGGCTCTCTAAATCTTCAAGAATTTTCAAAAACGGAGCAAAACTGAAATAGTTGTGAGCATTTGAAGTGGCGGACGTCAAATTCGAAGGCTGGATCTAAACTTTCTGGTGGATGCAATGACGCAAGCCAAGCCAATGATCAACACCCGCCCAGCCACTAAAAAAGACTCTGGATGTGTATGCGCAAAGTCTGTATTTTGAGATCCCATCAACCCTTCCTCACGCGACCGAGTGCTGTTTCGATAGGCGATATGGGACGCAAATCCGACTGGGTGGCCGGTGAGGCATGGCATCAATGCAGCCAAGATCTCATGCACTGGCAAAGATCCCATGCAGCAAGTCCCTGCAAGAACCACTCGTCCCCTGTCGGAGGTGAATGAGGCGCAACGCCAAGCTCTTGGCCTCTACGAGGGGGAGGGATTGGTTGGCGCTAGGTAAATAAGCTTATCTCTACATCAAATACGAAAAATAGAGGATTTGGAAATCCTTGTACCAAGTAAGATTTTGTATCTGTAGATATAAGTGAGGAGGCAGTGGTGAAGCTTAACCTAACCGTGTAACGTAACATCTAAAGTACAGTACCAAAAAATGGTATGGATTCGCTACGTTATTCCCGTTAATGCGCTAGTAATGCAGCAAGCATACGGCATTACTACGGTATTCCTTTTGTAACGCCGGTTTAATTCCGTATTATTCGCTAAATCCCGTAGTTATACAGTACTAATTTCACCCCGTTTTTTCGTACTACATATACTGTGACCAAAACCGTCGTATCTTGACAGGTACATCTCAGAGTATTACTGGCTGTAAATACAACCTTCGCGACCCCCGACCGAGTTTTCTGACAGCTGGATCTAACCATGTTAGAATTGGCATATTTACAGTAGCTTAAGAATGGTTTTTTGTACATACCTCCGACATGGATGGGGCCCACCTCCATGTACTGCATTGGAGGAAAGTGCAACCACGCCCACCTACACCGGTTCGCGTTTGAAAGGTTACACAGACTAAATACGAGCCTTTTCTAGCCAAGGTCAACCTAATCCTTGATAGACAAGGTAGGAATCAGTTTAGAGTAAAAAGAAACTCTAGGATCTAAAGAGATAGTTATATCGCAATGGTAGCACAAGTGACTAGCTTCGTAGATTAGCTCCCGCTGGACACATTGGTACTTAAGCCAGCTGGATCCAGCGACCTGGTTCCAACGAGTTCTCCACGATCACAGCCCAACAGACTCACTTGGCTAAATCCTTACGCTAGTAATGAGTTTGAGTGGCTGCCCAAATGCCGGAGAGGTCAGATGTGGTTCAGGTGGATGCATGCCAAGGGCGCAATGCTGTGTGGTGGATGTTGGCTGTAGGCTTTCTGTCTGCTGTGTATCGGAACGATTAACTCGAGTGTAATAACAAACGGGGCTGGACAAAAATATTATACTCACATTGGTCTCGCACTAGCCAGGACCATGGACTTATTTTCTCCTGATGGTTGTGACTGAGGCTCAAAGGACATCGAATATTTGCCATCTCGGAACCGACTATTCGCTCTGCACTATCCGTCCGGCCCTGTTTGTCATTGTAGTGGCTTTGTGGTGGCTGTTCATTTACTGACTGTCTCACAGGGTATTGCCTTCAGGATTGGGCATGTCAGTCAATCGCGAACAGCATAGACTGCTACCCGTACGTCATTCCGCACCCCCGGTACAGGTCCGGGACCACTCACAACTAAGGTACTTTGCAGAACCACAAGTACCCCGCGCCCCACCATCCGGACCTGCTTGGACTACACAGATCCACAGTCATCATGCATCGGTGAATGCTCGCAATGGTAACTCCCCATCTCCCCAGGTGTGGAACATCTTTGGATACTGAAGAACTGGACAGCGGTGTAGATAGTCCATTCTATATCCAGGGGTACTACATAAAAGACAGTGTAACCTTAGTAAACGGCTTCTGTGCGACAACTCCCACAACGTACATATACCAGGCTACAACATCAAGAGCTCAGGTTACCTCTAGCCGCCAGAACCAGGTAACCGATGCGCCTACTCTCCCGACAATGACGACCATGGCGTTTGCAACGTTCACTACTGTGCAGCAGGCTTCGTCATCGTCGAACGGTGGTCTGGGGACGGGCGCTATTGTCGGGATCGCGTTGGGTGGGTTTGCGGTGCTGGTGCTTGTGGGGATATTCTTTCTGCTCCTGCGGCGGAGTAAAGGGGCGGCGTAGTAGGTTGGTGGTACACTTCCGGTTTTCGTCTGCGAGGAGGTCAGCCGGGGGGAGGAGAGGGAGGATGGGGTGGCTTGGGAAACAACCGAAGCGGCCGTAATTGACCCATTCTGGCGTCTTTATATATTCTGTGGTAGTTGGTGTATGCTATTGTTTACGTTGATTAGTAGGGTAGTCACAGCTCAGCTTCTAGATTGTGAAATAATACATTATGGGGTACTTACACACGCATGAAGGTGCTATTCATAGTAACGTATTGCTCGGCGGCTGATCCATCAAGGGCTACCGGTTTAAGGGGTGCTTCCATGGTGCCTTTATGGTGTACCTGGGTGACGACTGGTATCTGTGTAGAGGTTCGACTGCGTTGTTGGTTAAATATGATGCACCCGAAAGAATGAAGGTTCATTTACTGGCGGTATGCTACGACCAATTCTCGAAACCTTTAGCTCACGATCACGCAATACCTCAACTTCGTGTAGTGTTCTCTTCAATACGGGTCAAGTTGACAGTGTGTGATATTCCATGAGGCCAAGTATGTCACTGAAGAACGATAATGAATACTGGTAGGTTTCTGATGTCTCCAGATAAGATTAAGCCTATATATACCGAGACATTCTAGATGGGGCGCTTGCGTTTAGTGGGGTTAGACCACCGGTGTTCGGAAAGGTTGTAAACTCACCGGTATGTGCAGGGACGTCGATGGGCCGTGGGTTGAGATGGGCCGCCCGGGCTATTTTTGGGCGGGCCAGGCCGGGCCCTAGATTTTATTTGATGGGCCGGGCCAGGCGGAGGCTAACATTTAGCCCGGGCTAAATAGGCAGGCCCGGGCTTCAAGGTGTTCATACAATCTTAGTAGTTCTTCTTTGATATATAGTCATTTTCTACTATAAGAGGCAAGGTAAACAACATCATATATTTCCTACCATAAGAGGAAGGTTAAATTGTGGTATTTTAGATCCTATCTACCATAATCTCAAGAACATATGTTCGCGTTGTGATGAACACCTCTATTTGTGGGAGCCTGGGCCATAAATATTTAGCTTGGGCCAGGCCATGATTTGGATAGCATGGGCCGGGCCAGGCCGACCCTATTTTCCAGCCCGGGCTAGCCCATTGGCGTCCTTGGGTATGTGAACCGAACATGAAGGCGTGAAGCGAGAAAGTTGCTCAGGACAGGTTACAACTTCGAGTGAAGTATGCATACGTATACACTAGTAGCCTCCTTCAACTAACTGTGGCTGTTCGGTTCTAGGTGATCGATCCAGAATTGAGTAGTAGTCGGCTGTTCCCGCAGATATGGAGAAATATTGAGGCTACGGTGGTGATATTTAAAGAGTCTACCTCCCGGCGGTGTGGGAATAAGTTAAAAAAGGTGGAGAAGGAGGGGTCAAATACCGCGTGTCCCAGCAAGACGAGTGAACTCTGCACTGGGACTCCGTGAGGGTTAGGCTTCCCGGTCACTAGTATGGTTTGCAGTATTGTTTGCGTATGGTAACCCTAACCCTGGCTGCGGGCGAATGTTTTAGAGGTTACAACGCGCATGTCTTCGTGCCAAAAGGACTGAACTCAGGTGTATAAATAAAATTCCTTTGCTCCGTTAGGAGGTCTCAATTGCTTGTGGTGATATTGCCCGACCGTTCTAGCTATAAGCATTCGGTCCCGCCGAGTGAGCGGTCCACAGAGAGAAGTCCGACTAACCATTTTCGGGATTTCGTGTATTCTGGAAACTTTATAATATTAATTGAATTTGATCATACCTATTAGTGGATGTGTAGATAGTATGGTACTTAACATCGGGACCGGTCATGATAGATGTAAAAAGCTCCAACGGTGTAGCATGCGCCTTTGTGGTAAAACGAGTGTGATTTGGTGATTAACATGGTCCTTTTGCTGGATTTTGATCCTAGGTGGTAGAAAAATCTGCTGGTCTAGAAGGTTAGCTATCTGCACGCTTGTTTGAATGCTTGCCCTCCTACTTACATGTACCAATCGACAAAATTCGCTGAACCGACAGGGTTCAGTGCTAGAACCCCTGATTGATTCAGCGGCAGCCCCGTTAGGTTCGGTAGTAGATTCGATGCTGCTTGATTTGATAGTAAATTCCATGCTGGGATACCCGTAACTACTGAGTCGGCTGCTGGACTCGGTGATGGATTCGGTGATGGGTTTGCTGCTGAATTTGCTGAATTTGCTGGCTTTGCTGGATGCATTGGATTCGATGCTAGATTCGCTGCTCAATTCGTTGATTAACCCAAATTTTGATAGTTGAGATGGAGTGGTAGAGGGAAGGGATTAGTAGACGGAACGGGGTTAGTAGAGGTGGTACGCAGAGGGTGTGGATGTAGGAGCGATACAAAAACACGGCTTGCTATTTGCTACATGCCTACATCGTAACCCTAACCCACGAAACCTTATTCCCCCGAGTCCTCTCAGTTCCCGCTTTGTAGATGTCCGATTCTTTTATTCCGAAGCCTTGCTACCAAAAAGTGCCTTAGTTGAACTTGATATATGCGCCTAAAAAGCTTAAGAAATAACCTGTTCCGCCCGTACAGTAGTCTGTACACCAGCCGCCCCGGCGCCCGAGTATAAGTTCTCGCAATTACAAGATATCGGCTAGTGGTCCAGTGGGTAATACACTGAGACTGCTCGCCAGGTTAGACACCGAGTATTTGATCCCTAGGACCTGGGTTTGAATCGGAGGTGGAAGTAGTGCAGTATGTGGCACAGTACTTTTTGTTGGGGTTATTGTAAGTAGCATTGATATAATCGTATTTCTCTATGGCCGAAATTTATTAAAGACCCTGTTATCAGGGCCAGAGTTGGAACTATCAATTATTTCATTTGAATCGATCTGTCACTGATCTGTTGTGTCGTTTCCGCCACGCAATCGAAACTTAGAAGACAGCCACCGCCAAAACGAGCTGGGGTCTCACTCGCTATGTCAAGCCTGTTGCGCTCTACCACAGCCGCACCCTCGATACGAACACTCTGCATAAAATCTTTAGAAATCTGGGATAACTATTGGTTTACGATCTACCCTTGTTTGGGTATCCAATTGGCCTTGGATTCGATAAGATCAAGATACGCCTTTCCTAATCCAGATTCTACAGGCATGTCCGGCCTTGGCGCATATGTGATATAATAAGAATATATATATATATATAGTGGTAGGCTACTTCATACTTGATCCCCAGGTGCTCTGGAACCTCAACTTCCTAAGGTTGCCGTATAAGAAATAATCGTGGTAAGGCTACTTCCGCTGGCGTTGGGCTGAATCGACTGACGGAGAAGGGCAATAGATTAGGGTTTCGACTAGGGTAGATCTAGAGACAGGGCACTGTGAGCGCGTAGATGCCTAGCTCGACCAATTGTGCACTCTAGACTCACAGACATGCAGGACCTCTTGGTCTGGAAACCATTTCGCGCCGTGACCGGTCAAGTCAGATTTATGTATCCTACGATTTGTTGAAACCTCCGAGTCGTCGAGGTGTGATATCGCAAATCTTTGAAACTACGAATTCAACTGGACTGCAAAACTGCACTTTCTGGACAACTCTATTTTGAGAACAGCTCCCATCTGACCAATATAAATCCGAATAGACTCATGTTGTTCACGCAACACATGCACATTAATCCACACTGTCTTAAGCTTCAAAGTACAGCATCCTCATGCTCTCATCCAAGTTACTTTCGCGATGGTCTTGCGGGGTGTTAGCGAAGTGTTGAGTGCATGCTCTTGATAATATGTGTACAGAGGGGACGAATTAAGCTCTATAACAGAGCCACAAGGTCAGTTCATGGAGTTCAAGAAGGCGGAGAACGTGGCTGAACGCAGTTCAAGGGAAAGCTCCGGGCCACTGTACTGCTCAGCTGGCGAGGAGAATGGACTGGTTGGTCTCCATCTTAGGTAGTACGGAGCTGCTACTGGTAGGCGTTATGCCCAGAACTCTTAGCTGTACTCGTCGTGGCATATATCTTTCAGGACCTCCTCCGCCAGACACCCTTCTCCTCCGGAGGCTGAATATTCAACACATCAACTGCGACTATTTGATCCTTCGAAGAATGACAACTACCGCCAAATCCTGCGAAACTCCTGGATATATCCCCTGTGGCGCCCAGCGTTTACCATCGGCACGATGCTGATGCCGGCTGTGAGTCTTTGTCTTTCCATCGGTGGAATCGTCTATTTTAACATCAGCTCTAGGGAGCTATAAAGATAATAAAGCCTGTTACACCATCGACAGCACCGTTGGATGTTATTCGTACGGTGCATTTTCCCATGTGTAAGTTTTCTGGGCTCACAATCCCGCAGATCCGCCGGCCAACGACCAAATGCGAAGACTTGCGTTCCGAGTGGAAAACCGAACTGTGAGAATGATGACTGCATCTATTGGTGAGTGTCATTGTTCTAAGCGCTCCGAAAGCATGCTAATCACTATCGCGCCAGCCTGTCCAATGTCTTCAAGTCCTGTGCGGAAATAGTATACATCGACAGTTACCGCACCTTGACCAGTGCCATCTGCGCAGAAGCGGCGTGAACGTCTACAATAGACAGGAGAGACAGAATGAGTTCTGGTAGCGGGGCACCTTCCTCTACCGAGACCACCTTCGAATCCGTAACCGTGCCGGCCTACACAACAGCGAGAGCATCCGGCGATAAAGAAATACCTACAACTACGCTAAAAATGGCACCAATCCTCGGAATCACAATAGGGGGATCAGCATTGCTCCTGCCACTTATAATAATTATTATGCTTCTGCGTCGGAAATCTTGTGCCACGAGTAGGAAGAAGGACAGGGTAGAAGGGGGTGAGCCGTTCCCTCGAGGCCAGAATGGGGTAGGCATGAATTACAGTAGAAGTGCTTGGGATTGGAAATAGCTTTGAATCCAGTTTAGTCTATACAATGGTGTATCTGTACGGCAGGTCTATGTACTTTTGTTTATAATTATTTAATAGAAATGTAGATATATAGAAAGTAAATGATGGCTGGGACAGGAAGAACACAACAAATGAGAACACGACATAGTCGGGGTTACGTACATAACTTAAAAGACTAGGTAATATAGAGAGAAAAGGGGGCTTGGGGTAGTCTTTCCCATTAGGAATGATATTGTTCGATGAACATTGATCGCACCAGGGGTGTTTGGCCACCGGTAGGTCCATCTCCTTCCTTTATTCCGGATGTGTGTGCACCGCTAATTCTACATTGTTGTACTTTGTGAGAGGGAGCGGAGGTACCGAAAGTACCGGAGGTCACTCTTTAGTATGATGTGCCAAACAATTAGTTAGGGGGTGGAAGTATTAGTACTTCCAGTCACGTGATAGTGAAAAAGATACATCCATCCGCCCGCACTGAAAGTCACTCCCATCTTCTTTTTATGAAAACAATACATAGCCGAGAGGCCCCACGCAGTGAAGATACCCGGTACTTGAGTGACCGCAGCGCAGCGGAGGTACACGAGATTGAATAGTAGTCTAGAGATCGCTTGCGGTCTTAGGGCTTTGTCTCGGGTCTGGCACAGCTAGCCGGATTAGGCCTGTGCTCAGCTCCCGTGGTACACGAAAGAATTAACGCCCTACATAAAACCCTCGGCCACTGGAAGGGGAAATAGAGGGGGCATTACCCCGCCCTTTGGACCTAATGCTCCTAGCCCATTACACTAACCCTCCATTGACACGGCGCTCACCTCAATCGTTAACCTCACCACTGACCCTAACGAACCTAAAGTATTGTGAGTCTTCGATCCCTTTCCCCCGACGCAAGTGTGAACTGATTTGATGGAGGCTAATGACGAACAAGCCGAATATATAAACAGTACGTGGAACAACAACAGCTAGTTTCTGTACCCGAAGCCAATCGACTACAAAGTTACATCCTTTGTATTGCCACTTTGTCACTGCTTGTGAGAATCGTTTGAATACTCCGGTCTACTTAGTGTTCTACTATATGAGAGGTAATGACGAAATCCTTTCGGCCATCAGCGTGAATTTGGTTGCTGATCACTTGTTAGTTTAAAGATGGCCTATGAACTTCCGAACAATCTCAACCTAGTGAACGAGGACTCTGTCAATGGTCTTTGGAATTCAATCCTTGGTCATTACTATTTTCCGTATCCCGATTATATCATCAAGCCAGAGGGCAGGATCGAAAGCGTCAGAGGGGCTAATCTCAGATTTGCCGATCTTGTCGTGTGTGACCCAAACGGAGTGCATAAACTGGTCTTTGAAGGGAAGAGGCATGGACTGGGGGACATCACGAAGGCGGATGCTATCCAACAGGCCACAGCCTATGCGCAAGGTTGCAATGTCAGATTCGCCATTGTCGCCAGCGGCAGAGAGGTAACCTTTCTTCAGGTCGATAACCAGGGGTCTGCGGTACTCGTTCCCCCAGGCACGACCTTCGCCGGCTGGATAGATATGGTTGATAAGATAAGTATGGTTGATCAGAGACTGAAATACATCAAAATGATGATTGAGATGGCTCATTGAATAACTCGACGGTCATGTTTTCTGAATAGTGATAGTCACGAGGTGCTTAGTTCTTTATTAGTCATGTGGGTAGTTGATCTTGTTGTATTCCTTTTTATGAAGGAGGGGCCCCATGTAGTGGGGATACCCAGTACTTGTACTGTTGAGCGGAGTGAACACTATTTGGTTATTTTATGAAAAGTGGCGTGAACCCTTTTATTATTTTAAGCGAGGTGTTGCGACCTCGCGACCGTGTGAATTTTCATCGAGGCGGGCTTCCATGCTGTAACGCTGTTAGCTAGGAGTAAAGGTTTTGTCTAGAGATGCGCCAGCATCTAGACAAAACCTGGCACATGGGGTATTAGTTAAGGATGGAGAATGCTCATCCACAGTATAACACGGACCTGGCTCATGGCCAATAGCGTCTGGCACAGCTAACCTGGGTTCTTGGCTCCTATTCGTTTAGTGGGCATGTTCGAGTCAATGCTGCCAGGCAGAGGGAGAATCCCACCGGGCAATTGTCCAAAATGGACCAAGGTAGAGTTTCGATAATAAAACAGTCTAGAGGGAGTTATCGATGACACACCCTTGAAATACCGTGGGTAAGGCGGCATACTGCGGTCGGTAACTGAGAGTAATATCTCAGAACGCACAATATAATAAGCCCACTCCCTCGACGATATCGGTAATATCGTGTGATTATACCTGCCAGGAGTGGGATCATATGCCCGGCACCTTTGCTGCTTTCCAATCAGTTCTTGCTTTATTCTAAGCCCGATAACCGCCATATAGACCCACACGGAGCTTCCGACACATGAGAGAGCACTCGATCAAGCTGTGGGTTTGATTAGGTTATTTGAACCATTGATCGATTCGTATAATTGATTCGGCTTTCTAGTCGTAGGATTCAATACCTGCTTGGTGGTGGAATGTGTAGCGCATAAGGTATCATATGGTAAACCTATTTGACCAATTCTACCGGGACTATTGTAGTAGTGGAGTAAGACATGTAATTGTGTGAGATATTGGTTCAGATATAATTGAAGAAATTGCAACCTCTACCCGCCTCACCGTCTTGCCACGCACATAGAGGGGTCAGCATTCTTGCCAGCTCAAGGGATACGTAGATTGGTGTCAAGGGACTTCGGTTAGACCTACTGTAACTTTCGTGGCGATAAACTCAATAATGCGTATGGGTAGAGGAATAGAGACCTTCGTCTCTGAATTGCTTGGCGGACCACCGCTTCATGAACTATCACTCGACTCACAACATCGGAGAAAATTGATGATTCATTTGTTTTTTGTATCCAGCCTGGATAAATGAAAGAGAGAGCTTAGTCAGCTTTTTTCTCATCGTAAAAGTGGGATGGAAATATATATTTACGCGTAGTATATATAGATGGCAGAATACCTTTGACTTACTCGGTGCTGACTGGGGTATCATCCGGTAAACGTGTCCCGCATATCCTAGATAGTTCATGAAGTAGAGGGTGAAGTTGCGTGCGATTAGGAACATAGTACGGATTTGCTGGTGCGTAAGCCTTGGTTTATGTGGGTGGTTTTGAGAGAAATACCGGATGTTCGCACAGAGCAGTCGTCATGATATCAGCCTATGAGAGCTATTGCTCGTTGGGGTTGTTTAGCTGGAACATTAGTAAATGATAATTATATTTGTTGTATAAGTGAGAGGGCGTTCTTGCGCAACAGGATATAATTCCAGTTGTGAGTTTACTGCCGTTGGATGTTCCAAAGGAGACGTATAACTTCATTTCGTATTCTAAGAGGCGGTGCGTTATGTCTCCAGCCAGTATGCGGGTAGCTTGAACAATGTATTATCCAACGTAGATGGGAAGAAACAAACACACAGTGATGCCGGAAAGACCTCAGCAACCTTTGCTAAAGTCACCAACGGGAATGGGAATCGTACTGTCTGTCGGGAAATTTACCGGTAAAGTAGGTGGGCCAAAATCTTTGGGTAGTCTAACAGTTGCGGATGGAAGTACTTGATATACTCGGCTGTGCGCTCTTTTGTTTCCGGAAGTCTTGTCTTTCGTCAACAGATAGACGTGATGTTCCCCCTCCATCAACCACCCTTACCCGCCAAGCTCGCCAGGTGGGGTGTACAATCTGCCGACCGTTTAAGACACTAAAGGTTGATTATTAGCGTAATACCTGTCGTACTGTTATATAAAAACTTGTATACATCGAGAACCTGATTAATCGTATATCGTTGTCAATTCGCGCCTGGGAGCAGAGCCTGTTAATTATACAAGATCCACCGCTGAGAAATATAGAGGGTATATTCGTAGTGGATTTAAGGGTCATGCTTCTAACTTTTCTCGTCCTGCTCACCCGCGCCTGATTATTCTTTTTGTCTTCTTGTATCCTAGCCATTCTCGGAAGTGTGGTAACAGCATTTGCAAGGGTGACGAGAAGCCTGAGTTGCACGTTCTTCCCCGAAAACTATTTTCTTTACGAAGAAAGTATTCATTAGTTCATTCCATTATTTCTTGCGTTTCTGTGCAGTGCCGAATACGTACTTTGTTAATTACCATCTATATGGTGTAGATTACACCTTCCTTTCTATACAAATGCTTCCAAATGGTAGTGCTGCCTTGTCGACAGTACACTACGTAAACTATATTTGTATCAATACCGGGCCGGGTATATATAAGTATAATAAGTAGTTCTATTATATGAATACATCCGCGCTGGAGGGGTAAGAAGGATGGGCTACCAATCATTAACCTTCAGCATGCATAAGGAACAATCGATAGATAGTGCACATCGGTTATCAGGGGTGACCAATATGGAGGGAAATGGCACATTACATGAGCTCTTGTAGCTATCTGGAATCGGCCGGTGCCCTGCTCTCTGTCTATAAATCTTCAACTCCCTTTTGGCCACCACCGGCATTGCCACAAGTTGGTATGCTCAAACTAAATCCAACGTTTTTCCTCCTCCTTCCGGCCCTAGTCAACGGGGGCTAGAGTCTTCGAGTAGCTATGAGTGTGCTGGTAAGGGAAACTGCCCTCGGTGATTACTTTGGTTATGGCGGATAGGGGAGTTTTTTTTTTTTTCTTTTTTTTTTTTTTGGGGGGGGGGGGGGATATATACCAAGAAATCTGTTTCTGCACTTTAGCTGTCTCATGTCGCAAAGTGAACCTTTGGCTCTGTATGTAAGATATGCTGTGGTTTTGGCGCTCAATCTGGTGGCCTCTGTGACTGGTAATGAGCTCGGGTTGATGTCAGAATATTGTCAGCTTCGTTTGGGCGCGTGGGACTTCTATGATGATTCTGCTTGTTGTGTTAGAAATGAAAGGACAAGTTTCCGCGAGGTGTCTTGGGGAGTCCGATAGGCAGCACTGACGCATATGTGTACTCAACTAGGCTGCATGTTAGGAGATAGGCTGGTTTAGGGTTTGTATGAGCCAATACATATGAACATCGCTCACTACGGTCCTCTGGCGAGTGGTATTTGTGTATAGTGCTGGCACCTCCAATCCGCCTTATCTCCGCTCCTCGGTTCTTTTTAAAAGCTGTGAATACCGGCTGGAATTGTATGCATCCAAATACCCCTAATTATAAGTACGGCTATATATCTTGTGGGAGGAGACTCCACCCTGCTTGAGGACCACACTCCACACATATTCCTGGGCACACTTCGCACCAAGCCTCCACCTCAATTACAATGGCAGTCCACTAATTATTTGTGGAATCATGATTCTTAGTTGAAATATCTTGCTAAGCTTTGATTCTTTAACTACCGGAACTATTCTTCTCTCATTCAGCGGCTCGCGCTCACAGTGGTTCGAGATCACATTAGATGCTAAGTACATCTCCCATCAAAGAAATGAAAATAACTATATAATATAAAATAGTCAAAAATCACCAGATTATTTTAGAGAGCTAGTTGAGTAGGATTTGGAGGGTAGGGGATCGGGATGTCTCATCGTTTTCATCAATCCCGCGCGGTTGTCTGCTCGGAATTTCGCATTTTCCTCGCTTGCTGCTCCAGTCGCACCAGTCTGGATCTTTCCTGCTCTGCCTGCTCCTGTTTCATCTCGCCCTTTATCTTTTCACGAAGATGTTCTTTCTCCTTCAGAAGCCCCGCATGGAGTTTCTCGATCACGCTCTTCGTCTCTTCAAGGTTCAGAAGCTCCGCACGGAGCTTCACGATCTCGCTCTTCATCTCTGCATGGACCTCCCTCCACTTCCATATCTCCTCAAGTAATACTTTATTCTTCTTGTGCGACTCCTCACAGAGTTCCTTTTGTTTATTATTCTGCTCAGAAAACTGGTCTCTTGCCAGTCGCGTCTCCTCGTGGAGCTTCTTCTCCTCACCCAGCTGCCTCCGCAGCGCTTCCACCTCCGTCATAGTCGCCTGGTGAAGCTCCTTCTCCCTCCGTACATCCTCACGCAGCTTATCCCTCTCGTTCAGTGTCTTCTCAGTGCCTTGTTCCCTCTCTCGCATTGCCACTCTCAGCCGCCGCGAGTCTTCTACAAGCTTTATCATCTTCTCAAGCAGCGCTGACTCCTCAGCTACAAGCCCCTTGCTCTTGTTCATCCGTTCCGTCAGGCTATCCAACTGCGCAACTTGCGCAACGTCCGCATCAGAACCTCTCCGGTCGACCCCTGCCGCGGGTTAGCTGGGATGCCACCGTCTGAGCGTGAGATACATACCACGGAGCTTCGCAACGAGTAGTTCCACATCAGCTATATCAGACTCGAGTTTCCTCCGTAGGGAATCTGTTTTGTCCGTTTGGAGATTGAGCATGAACGCTTCGACCTCGGAGGAGAGCGAGTCGAGCCCGGCAAGGAAAGGCGGCGGAACGACATCTGGACTTGCTGCGCTTGAGGCTTCCGAGGTTGGGTCGGCGTGAAACATGCTGATACCATGGGGTTGGTTGATGGTCGTAGATGTGGTAGGGGATTGGGCAAAGTATGTAATCGATAGTTAGGCCCCCAAGAAAACAACGATGTTGAATGACTCAGCATATTACACCAAGTGGTACATGGTGTCAATTATAGGGAACACGGTGATACTTGTAGTTAGCCTGTGTAGACTTTGATTGCAAGAAAGATGGAAATCTCATAACAGATCCGGAATGCACGGCGTGTTCATTGGAGATTTCTCGCAACTACATGTACTCACTGAGTTTGAGCTCATTGCGGTTCACCTCGGGGGTGCTGAACAGTTTTCCAAAGTGTATAGAATCCGAAGTGTATCCGAGGATAGAGATTTGAAAAAAAGGCTTGTTTCCGCTGAAAATGTTTAAATGATGTACCAGGATTCAGGAGATGACCGCCATAGGGGAGTCTTTTGTTTAAATTCCTCAAGGGTGGAGATTTTAAAATTTAGTTGTTGTAGGCTATCTAGATTTGCTTGTTTAATTGTACCCCCGATAACACGCAATGGCATATTGATTTATTTACTGATGACTTTTAGGTTCTAGTTGGTAACACTATTGGAACCATGGATCATGGATTCACAACGAGTACTGAGTCTGGTCTGTGAACGTGGCCTTGCAGGCAAGGTTGGAATAAGTTTTCAATGCGCCATGGTCCCCACCAGCCGGGTGGGGGTAAGCGTGTCGCGCATTATGTAGGTACTCTACATGTACTTACTCTATGTACTCGTTAGTCTACTTAATGTTGCGCCAAGAAGCGTCATGCTATGACTGGACTCGGCTCGGGCCGGCCCGCTGCAGGGATAACAGATAAGAGATCACGTCATACTCTACAATTTCGGGTCGACAGTTACATGTATCTACTTACATGTACAGAGGATGGTAAAATTATTGCGAAAACAGGGGTTTAGCGAGTGCTGTGGGGCCGGAAGGTGGCGAGTGCTGTGATTGGCTGGTAGAGGACCTCAATGGTTCATGGAGTGAAATTTTTTTTCTTGCCTGTATCGATTCCCTCAGCTGTTCACTATGGTGTCTATTCGTACAGAGGATGTCAGCTACAGAAAGAGATGTTATGTCCAAGCTCTTCGGCATACGGGTTGGACATTTCAGCGGATTGCTAATGATCAAGGCCTTGCAGTCTCGACAGTGTATGGAATTTGCAACTCACCTGCTACACCACAGAGAGAAGGGAGATGCGGCCGTCATGTGATAATTGATACACGTACCCGTCGTATGTTGGTTTTTGAAGCCACCTCTACTGCTGAATCTAGGAGGAAACCTTTGTCAGATATTGCTCAAGAGGTTGGCATTCAGGTATCTGCCAAAACTCTCCGTGACGCTTTTGCTAAAGAAGGGTATCATCGACGTGTGGCACGAAAGAAGCCCTTTCTCAATGAGACTCAAAGAAACAGAGGTCTCAGATTTGCTCTGGAACGTCATAATTGGACTGCAGAAGACTGAAAAAAGATAGTATGGACAGATGAGTGCTATATATGGCTGGGAGGTTCCCTTAAGAGGCTATACATTACAAGAACAGTAGAGGAGGAGTGGATTGATGATTGCATTGCCCCTAAATTTGCGAAGCAAGATTCAATTATGATATGGGGGGCTATTCTAGGAGAGGGTGGTAAGAAGATTATTGTTATATGGGAGAGAGATGACTGGAGATCTATCACCACCAACACCTACTGCAATCATATTTTAATCCGTCAGCTACAACCCTTTTGGCTTGAGGAGAGTCAAAGAAATGGACAGGCTCTCTGGTTGATAGAGGATGGTGCACCAGCCCAAAGAGCAGGATCAACTTAAGCAAGTATTTTTTTTCTCCTGTTATTCATTTACTAATTATATACAGAATATCATAAATCAATTTGGAATGCCGTCTCGTAATTGGCCTGCCTTAACTCCTGATCTCAATCCAATTGAGAATATCTGGAGTATTCTCAAAATGACCCTGCATGATAGAAGACCGGGACCTAGAGGAAGAGCAGAGATTAGAGAGGCAATACTTGACGATTGGGATCTTATTACTGAGGGGGACATCATCAGGTGTATCAACAATATGCCAGAGCGGATAGAGGCAGTCATTGCTGCCAATGGGGGTCATACCAGGTGGTAACTTGAAGGTAGGTGTTCGTCCTTGGGTGTTCGTCGCTGGAACAGGTCACTGAGCGGGTGTTCATGGTCGGGAACAGGTATTCATCGTCGGGAACAGGTGTTCATCGCTGGAACGGCTGTTTGTCGCTGGAATGGGTGTTCGTCGCTGGAACGGGTGTTCGTCGCTGGAACGGGTTTTCATCGCTGGAACAGGGCTGAGTGATCGTTGGTGCAGGGGTTTGTTAGAGGAACCGGGTGTTTGTTGCTAGAACTCTTGTTAGATACTGTACTGTAGAAAATTCACCACTCGCCACTCAAAATTTGATACTAGCTAGGCTTTTTTTAGCGCACTCGCTTACTCCTGTTTTCGCAATAATTTTACCAACCTCTGTAGTGTATCAATTGACTCAAGCCATCTTTCTTCCCTCTATTGTACCCAGTTTTCAAAATTCACCATCAAGTTTTGCGTTGCAACCACGTTACACAGGCAGAAAAGTCTCTAGCAATTTGGCTTCAAAACCCAAAATACCTCTCATCCCCCCTGCATACTCCCACCACCCCTCAAATATGAGTGGCAACGGTAATGCTCTCCTCCTCGGCCACCACTTATCCTCCTACACCGGGGCAGGCTCGGCCTTCGCCATTCCCCAGCTCCTCCAAATGGACAAACGCCAAATCCTCAACAAATTCAGCTTTGAAGAAGTATCCCCAACTGCTGACGATCTCCTTCGTCACATCGCCTCCACCTTCACCTCCCAGGAACCAGCCAGCATCCCGGCCAAAGCCATCATAAGTCTCCTTTTGGGCCCTACGACCCAAATCGACAAACTCACTTCAGAGGTCAACTCCTTGTCAGCAAGGCACTCCGCAGACATGAACCACCTCAACAACCACATCAGCAAGGCAACCCCCACAGCACTCAATCCCTAAACCCGCTATGCACTCAGTCGGCAAGCGAACCCTCCCACCCGGCCCCCTCCAAAGAGACCTATCCCCTCTACCCTCCAGTTATACACGAGGACATCGACCCCAACATGCCAATTGAGACCATCAATGACAATGGAAACAGATGTATCCTCTCCTATGCAGAAAATGTACGCATGGGATTACTAGGCACCTCTAGACCGCCTCCTGCCCCACCCAACCCCAATAAAAAAAAGGTCAATACAAAAAGCACCCCCCCTCCCCCTTACAGGCAACCTCCCCACCGCCCAATGCCGATTCTTTGCCACCAGATCGAATCCTGCACCATTCACCAACCAACTCCAGCTTGAAGCCAAACTCCCCTCCGAACTTGGAAGAGTCTTAGCCAACTATCACGGCTCGACCGCCCCCACCTCCTCTGCCGACGAGAACGCTACGGAATCGGGTTGTTAGGTGAAGAATTAGGATGGCTTCGGTTAGGTTGAATATGTTAGGAAGATGCTCGGAGGATACAGTAAGTGCTAGGCACTTCGGGTTAGGTTGTAGGAAAAGGATAGGCATCGATTGTGGGATGTTATTATATTGGTTGGATATTTCTTTGAGTGTGGTGGCGAGGATTACTTATTGGGTTGTTTTTTGGTGTTTATATTTGAGGCTTTGTTTCTGTTATTTGTACTTTCCTTCTTTCTTCTTTACGCAACGTCTTCATTCTGTTGTTAGTAAAATTCTATTCTAGTTCGATCGGTATTCAGCCCGGTCCTCTGTCCTCATCCTAGAACGTATCCGAGTCAATTCTTGCCTCGGTACCTGCCCACGTCCTTGTTATTAAACCCTACCCTGTTAGACAATGGCGGCGGTATTATTGTGGTATGCAGCGGGTTTTCAGTTAGGGTCGGTGTAGCCTGTGCATTTAACAAAATATTGCAGGCTGTTGTTTCTTGTTTCCCGTGAGTCCAAGATTTCCTCAACCGCATACTCTTCTTCCTATTCAACTATAATAGGCGGGGGTGGTGGTTGAATTTGCCCCGGAACGGGATCATTTGCAGCGGAGTCAAGCAACGATACATGGAAGATGGGTGCATCTTCATACTCCTAAGCAGGTCGATTCGGTACGCATATGGCGATATGATTTCTTTGACGGAGAATGGTCCTAGTTTCTTCCAGTCCAACTTCCGAGATTTACAGGTTTTTCGGATATTTTTTGCTGAAACAAACACCATATCGCCGATATCGTACCATGGGGCCGGCGTTCATTTGGTATTAACGGCCTGCTCTTGTGGGTCTTGCGACGTGTGTATATTGGAACGTAGGTGTTCATGGAGTTCTTTCATGTTCAAGGCGAAGTCTTTAATATTGAGGCTTGGTGGGGTCCTGTCAAGCGATTTGATCATCAATGTAAACCGGGGGTGGAAACTATAGTTCGTGAAGAATGGTGTAGCTTTAGTGGATGCGGAGACCTGATTGTTGGAGGAGAATTCTGCCATAGGAAGCCATTTTACCCAATCGCCCCTGTTGATAAGAGACATATCTACATAGATATTGTTCTATTACGGTGTTCAGTCTTTCAGTTTGGCCGTCGGTCTCCAGGTAGAACGTGGTGGATATTCTTGCTTCAATGTCAAGGGGTTTACGAAGAGCCCTCCAGAATTTGGCTGTAAATTGCATACCGCGGTCTGAGGTGACATGTGTGGGTAGCCCGTAGAGCTTCCATAGATTTCGCAGATATAGTTGGGTGACATCTTCGGAGTTGACGGTGGTATTACAGGGCAGGAGGTGTCACATCTTTATTAACCGGTCAACAACTACCATAATCGTTTCATACCTTTCGCTCTCCAGTAGGCCAGTAACAAAGTCCATTAATACCTCTTGCCATGGTTGTTTGGGAATTGGTAAAGGTCGAAGTACGCCGAGTTTTCCATGCGTGTTGGATTTGCTTCGTTGACAGGTGTGGCAGTTCCGAACGTAGGGGACAATGTAATTCCGCATAAGGGGCCAGTAGTATTCTCAACTAATGAGTTTGAATGTTTTTTCGCTTCCGGAGTGTCCGGCAGAGGCAGTGTCATAGTAAAGTTAGAGGATTCGGAGTTTGAGAGGGTCGTAGTCGGGTACATATATGCTGCCTCGGTAAAGCAACCAGTCTTCAATCTCGGTGCATTCGGCAAGTGATATGTCCTTTGATTCTTGTTCACCTTTCTTCCACATATCCAGTATCTTTTGTGGAAACAGGTCCGCGCTATATCCTTCATCGAGTAGTCTCTGCAGTGAGGCGTTCTTTTCAGCGGGCTCATTTGAGAAAGAACCCGACAACAAACTTAGCTTTGTGTCAAGGTTCTCCTTCTTCAATACAACTTGACTCTGGTGTAATTGCCTTTCATCCCCCTCTCCAGGGAGATCTCCTGATCTTCCTGTCAACGCATGCGGTTTCCCTCCTTGTTTCCCTGGTCGGTTCTTAATGACAAAATTGAACCGTGATAGATATTCCGCCCACCGTGCTTGTCTCTGGTTAAATTGTTTAGTACTCATAAAGTATTCGAGATTCTTATAATCGGATATGATGGCGATTGGGTGTGCAGCCCCTTCAAGTTCCGGTCGCCATTCCTCAAAGGATCGAATAATCGCCAGTAATTTCTTGTCGTAAATCTCGTAGTTGCATTCGGCCGGGGAGTGCTTTTTTGAGAAGTATGTGACGGGTCGAAGGGTACCATTATCATCGTATTGGGAGAGTCCACCGGCAGAGACATAGTCAGATGCATCGGTTTCCACGGTAGTTTCTTTCTCCAGGTCGAAATGGGTAAGGATGGGAGCGGTTGTGAAAGCTTCTTTCAGTGCGTTGAAGGCAGTTTGGGCTTCGGGTGTCCATTTGAATGATATGACCTTGCGTGTCAGTCTGGTAAGGGGGGAAGCCAGTTCTGAGAATCCACGTATCAATCGGCAGTAAAAGTTAGCGAAACTCAGAAATGCTTCCATATCCTTAACTGTTTTGGGGACGGTCCAATTCTTCACTGTCTCCACTTTCCTTGGATCCATTTTAATGCCGTTGGGTTCGATAATGAGGCCAAGATAGGTGGTGCTTTGTGTATAAAATTCATATTTCTCTGGTTTCAGCAGTACTCCATTTCTTTGTAAGGCTTCCACGATGTTTTCGACATGTACTTGATGTTCTTCGAAGGTGTCGCTGTAAATGAGGATATCGTCAAGGTAGGCTGTACAGAACATATCAAGATAGTCACGGACGTGATCGTTGATGAAGTGTTGGAAGGTGGCCAGCGTATTGGTAAGGCTGAAGGGCATCACCGTATATTCGAAATACCCGTAACGTGTACAGAAGGCTGTTTTCCATTCCTCACCCTAAGCCATTCGGATCTGGTTATACCCTTAGTAAAGGTCAAGTTTGGTGTACCACTTAGCTTTGGAGAGGCACTCGAGAGTTTCTCGGATGAGCGGCAGGGGGTAGTGGTTTTTGATGGTGAGTTCATTGAGAGCCACGACAATCGACACAGAGACGGAGTATTCCATCAGTTTTTTTAACAAATAGGACAGGGGCACCAACGGGGGAAGAGCTGGCATGAATGAAGCCCTTTTTAAGGTTTTCCTGTATATATTGCTTAAGCACGATGAGTTCCTTATGGGACATAGCATAAAATGGCCCAAACGGGGGCTCTTTTCCTTCATCAAACAGTATCTTATAGTGATAGAGGTGGCGAGGCGGCATTTCCTTAGCGAACTTCTCATCCATCATCTTGTGGAACCTCTTGTACCGGGTTGGGACTCGGTTCCTCCAGTCTCCCTTAGGGACCTCATCCAGGGTTTGGTCGATTCCCTCGATAGTTGTGCTGAATATTTGGAGCTTGTCCCTTCGAGCAAAGTGGCAGAGGGCAGTTCAACTGACGAGGTGGAAGTGGGGTGGTGGTGCAATCCCTCTGATGGGAGCGGGTATTGCGGAGGAGTTGCACTTGCACTTGCAGTATTCGGAGTCGAACAGTATGCTATTGTCCTTAAACCCTAATGTGGCGTCCTATAATTGAAGCCAAGGGATTCCGAGTACGAGCGGATACGAGCAGAGCTTGGTGATAAAGAAGGGAATTTTCATGGATCGACTAGTGGAGGTATGGGGTTACGAAGAATGGGATTAGTCAGAAAGGTTCTATTGGTTTCTATCGGGTTCTGTTGATTGTTAATGTATGAGTCATGTTGGATTTGTCATCGCTGGGATTTCCTTGAGTATATTAAGGGGGGTTGCTTGTACTTCTCGTTCTTTTCCTTCTTCTTTCTTTACGCAATGTCTTCTGTATCTACGCTGTTTATTGCTATACAATATTATCGTACTCTTCTTCCTTTAAGAAGACCATCGCCTCGCCTTCTCCGTGTCCCGTCGAACCTTACCAACGCTAGAGTCTCGTAGTGCCCCTACTGCGAGTTCCCATACCACCCCCTATTCCACTCTTCGTACCCTGCGGAATACTCGCTACACACCCCCTTGAGAGGAATAGTTTCATGGTGGGAGTCAATTGACAGCGGTAGGTAGCACAGTTGGGCAATCTGTCCGGAGGATATGGGCCGTCCGTCGATGACTTCAAGCGTGCGGGGTGATTTAAGGGAGAGAAATGGGAGGTTGTTATGGCGCGTGAATGTTTCATCAATGAATGCAAATCGGGAGCAGCCGGTATCAATCAATGCGTGGGTTTGAATGTATATTTTATTGTCTACAATTTTACAAGAAGCAACAAAATGATACCCATTCAATTTATCCTCCACAGACGATACCGAGAAGCCAGAGATAGAGAAAACAGACAAAAGAGAAACATTAGAAGGTCCCGGGCAGGGGCCATTAATCAAGCCCGGGACTACTGAAAACCCGACTCAGAGGAGGCGAAGCTGGCGATTGGTGGGACAGTTGGATCGGCAGCAGTATGAGCGGGTGTGAGAAGGGCGCCCATCATAACCGGTTGGCTCCCATGCAGGCGATTGGCAGAGGGGCAGTTGGTGAAGACATGGCCGGGGTTTGCGCAGTTTATACAGAGATTGTTGTCCCTTCTCCATTGTTTTTCAGCGGTGGAGGTTTTGCGTTGTCTATTGACAAAGGTGTATCATTGTTCGGCTGCAGGGCGTTGAGCGGGACGGGCTTGGAGGTCGGAGAGGTCCATTCGGGCGAGGCCTCCGGTGGTATGAGATGGGTGTACGACAGCGGCGGGGGCGGTAAATTGTCCCATTGTATTACGGATTGCCCGTTGTTCAGCTTTACGGCCCCGAACCCGGTTGTCGATTGTCATTAACATGGTCGCGTATTCATATACAGTGTTAGGCCTGTCGGTCCGGTATGTCATGGTGTCCTTCAAATCGTTCGACAGTCCCTCGGCCAGGGCACTGATTTTGGCTCCTTCATTGTAGTCTAGGTAGGCCACAATACGGAGGAACTGTGAGTAGTTGGTGGCAAAGTCTCCTTTGCCTTGCTTCAGGTCGACAAGTTGGTGACAGGTGGTACCGCGGGGATCTGGGTCTCTAAACGAGGCTTTCACCTGGGCGACAATGGCAGTGACGGAGGAGAAGGGGGCAGCAGGGTTAGCGTTAACGAGTGGAACGACCTGATCAAGGGCCCTTCCTTCCAAGCGGCTGACGGCATAGATAACTTTTGCTGCCTCGTTTCGGAATCGATGGTGTTGGACCTCAAGTTTCATTCGGAGTTGGGTGGTGAATTCGGGGAGCTTGGTATGGGTGTCGTCGAATTTTTCAGGGTCTGGGAACTTTTCGAACCTGAAGGCGGGTACAGTAGTAGGTGGGAGAGCAGCGGCAAACGGGGACAGAGACGGCAGGGGCGGGGGCGGCGTGAGCGACATTGAGGTCGAGGTTGAGCAGGATTACCTGATCTTTAAGATTGTCCATGGTTTCATTGGTGATGGCGAGTTGTGTACGAGAGGTATCCCTCTCTTGGTAGATACGTTGGACAAGGATGGCAATGTGGTTAAAGAAGTCAGCAGCATCCACCTCATACTGCCGCTTGAATTCTTCTATATCATTGGGTGGGACCTATGTAGGTGGGTCGGGGGTGGACATGTCGTACGGTTCGGATGACGATGCAACGTAATCTCAAGGGGGTGAGTGCGAGTATACCACAGGGTACGAGGAGGTAGTAGAGGCCGGTGTGGGAACTTGCAATAGGTGTTCTGAGGGACTCTAGCATCGGTAAGGGCCAAAGGGACAAGAGGGCAGCAAATGGTGGTATTCTCGAGTAAAGAAGAGGAGAATAATATTGTATAGTAATAGAAAGCGTAGGTACAGAAGACGTTGCGTAAAGAAAGAAAGGAAAGAAAAAGAACAAGAAATAAAAATGAACCCCTCTAATGTACCCAAAGAAATCCCAGCGATGACAAATCCAAGTGACTCATACATTAATAACCAACAGAACCCGGTAGAAGTCAATAGAATCCTTCTGACTAATCCAACTCCTTGTAGCTCAGTGTATTCACTAATGGATCTATGAAAAATCCAAACCATACTCCGCTCAGTCACTCTGCCCCCTATCACCTACCCAATCGACTACTGGTTCGGAACTGCACTTGCAACCATAACCGAACCAGTCCTAGCTGCCATCCCCAACAAGAGGCCCTGCCAATGGTTGAAACCCTGGTGGTCACCATACCTATCAGGCTTCGACCGAATCTTCAACTCCATTGCACAAGCCTATAAGAAAGGAATGTCCCCCCCTTTCGAGTATAAGGCGGCCCGTAACGCATACTTCTCAGCCATCTAACACGCCAAGAAAATGCACTGGAATGACTTCATCACCCAAGCTGACTCCCAACAGATATGGGCCCTTAGGAAAAATTCGACCAGAAGTAAGGACATCAAACTACCCTGTTTCCTCAACTCCGCCATCCCTTCCGAGGTCAATCAAGCCCTCATATCCCAATTCTTCCCCGCCAACCCAACCCCACTCCCACCCCACAACTAGGCTTCTTCCCTGATGCCCCCAAAGTAATGGAGGAGAAGTCTCCAAAGCCTTAGCCGCATCCTCCAACAACTCCACACCTGGCCCAGACATGTTCCCCCCTGTAACCTGGAAAAGAATACATAGAGAAAACCCCTCTCTCATCCCCTAACTACTCACCCCCCTCCTTCGCAGTAGTTACCCACCCTAGTACTGAAAAGTGCATTCGGGGTAGTCCTTCTAAAACCCAACAAACCCGACTATATCTCCCCCGCTACATATCGCATCATAGTCCTTCTCGAAACAGTCTCAAAGATTCTTAAACGAATAATGACCTACCGATTGCACACCTTCACCTCCACCTCGTACCTCATACATCCCCACCAATGTGGATCCATTAAAGGCTTTTCAACGGCAGATGCCACTACCACCCTCATTCACGAAATAAGACTCCTCCAAAGAGCAAGCCTGAAAGTCTCCTCTCTCTTTCTGGATGTCAAAGGAGGCTTCGACCAAGTTGTCTCATCTATCCTGGTGGACACCCTCCGCAGCAAGAACACCCCCCCCCTATATGGTCCAATGGGTCATCTCTTTCCTCTCTGACCATAAATGTACCCTCCACTTCCCAGGATCGCCTAAGGCGTCCTTACCGGTAGCAGTAGGGGTCCCTCAAGGCTCCCCCATATCCTTACTCCTTTTCTGCATCTATATCGCCCCTCTCCAAATCGACCCATCCCTAGGCATAACCCTCTCCTACGTAGATTACTTCACCTTCACAGTGGCCTCCCCGTCCTACCAGCAAAATATCCCCCTACTCGAGGCAGCCTACCAATGAGCAACGGCCACAGGCTCCCCCAGAAACATCCAATTCTCAATCCCCAAAATGGACCTCATCCACTAGCACGCTGCCGCAGACAGAGATACCTCCTCACCCCTCTCTATCACCCTTAACCACCTCTCTCCCCCTCCCAAGCGAGAAATTAGGTGGCTGGGTCTCCAGCTTTCGGACAACTTCAACACCTTCAACCACTACTGGAAGAGGTGCTCCTCCGCTCAAGCCTCCTTTGCAATCATACAAGGGTTTGCCTCGGGGGGCAAAGGCCTCACACCACTGAACTGCGGAAAACTAGTAGTTATGGCAATACTCCCAATGCTCACCTATGGTGCATCAGTCCTTGTACTCACGTCACGAGCTCTTAAGTGCCTGAAACCACCTGGCACTCCATCCTTGGATGGGTGACAAACTGCTTCAGATCCAAACAACTCGCAGTACTACAGGCAGAGGCATCCTTTCCTCCTTTCTCCTTATACATACCATCCCTCTGCTTATGATACGCTGCCTGAATTCAAGCAGCATCACTAGCATACAACCCTGTCCCTGCACGCACTCCGGAAACCTTCTATACTTTCTCCAACTACAGGGAAATCTCCCACCGTCACCTCCTGCGTAGAAGACCCAACCAACCCGTCAATTGGAACTCCAACAGAAGGGGTGTAGCCCGTCTTCCCATCGATGATCTCTGCAACGCCCTCATCACCAACTCATCTACATTCAGCCAGGACTCCAACACCATCCATCCAGGCTTAGAGATCGCCATTAAAAAGGATATCCTCCAGCTCTGGCAAAGCAGCCACCTCCCGGACTACTATACCTTCGAGATTAATACTCGACCCCATCCACACCTCTACCTAGATCGCTTCATTACTGGTCGTTTATGCCAAATACGTTCCCATAAGAGCTACCTTGCCACCCACCCCTTATGGATGTGCCCAGATCCCCCTCTTACCTACGCCAGGTGCCTCCTCGAAGACGAGGACCTTGAGCACGCTATCCTCCGCTGTACCAAATGCGCCGCCCAGAAGGCCACTTACATACAATTCGCTGAATCACTGGATGACCTCTGGTCACCTTCCACCTCCCTCGCAGCCCTCTCCTCTTATATCAGAGTCACCAGGACAAGGTTCCCCCCCCCAGATAGGTCCTCTAAATCTCCATCATACGATCTATCATCCGACTCTGATCTTACCTCGATCCCATCAAGCTCGGATCCCTCTAAAACATAAACAGCGGTACACTATAAAGTCCGCGAACTACTACAACCATTACAACTAAATTGTTACTCTCAGTTTTTCCTATATCCTGAGATGAAATTGCGTAGCTGGTACGAAAGTTTATAGCCCGAAGAATGGGACGATCAAATTTCTTAGTTTGCTTTTCTGTGAAGGGAATGTCAGGGTTTCTTTTCAGTTATTGCTTCATGTCTTTATATTTTTCCTTTCTTTACTTTCTTTCGGCGGTAAGGGAGGGGAGGGGTGTTATTCACGCTGTAGCTTATGCTCCATGCGATATTATTGTACCCAGAAATAAATGAAACACTGATTTAAAAAAAAAAATCAATCGACTCAAGTAATACATGTCGTGTGGAAGAAGAAAAGTAAGAACACACTGGTTCCTAGGACGCAGTAGCAACATATCTTGGGGGCGACACATTGTACGATTAGATGGCGCGTGGCTCTAAGCGAGGAGGATAAATCAGGAGGAAAGAGGAGGTACTCGTCTCCTTCCTTTCCTCTCTAAGGCTCTAGATTCGAATAAACTCTACAATTCGATTCTCTCACATCTAAATTTCCCCAAACACTCTCTATATAGGGCTCTGCGGTTCAATTAATAGGCTATAGAAAGAATTAGAGAGTCGGTAAGTTTCCACATGCATGTGTAAAAGGACAGCACGCTGGCCAGATAATCGCTAGAAAGATTTCAAATAAAAAATGTAGTTCAGGACGCACGGGTCTTTTACTCATAGTATGTATTTTACTACAGCACATCGCTGTTAAAAACAACACTTCTCAGCCGCATCGCCTGTGGAAAGGTCGTCGCAAGTGACCATCGAAAATCACTGCGTAATATGGAGTAGTCAAGCAGGACCCGGATCGTCTGGAGAGATAGTTGGATGAGATTTGGAGGGTGGGGGATCGGGATGTCTCATCGTTCTCATCAATCCCGGGCGGTTGTCTGCTCGGAATTTCGCATTTCCCTCGGTTGCTGCTCCAGTAGTACTCGTCTAGATTTTTCCTGCTCTGCCTGCCCCTGTTTCATCTCGCCCTTCATCTCTTCACGAATATCTTCTCTCTTCTTCAGAAGCTCTGCGCGGAGCTTCTCGATCTCGCTCTCTATCTCTTCACGGAGCTTCTCGATCTCGCTCTTCATCTCTTCGCGGACCTCCCTCCCCTTGGATATTTCCTCAAGTAATGCTTTATTCTCCTTGCGCAACTCCTCACAGAGCTCCTTCTGTCTATTATTCTGCTCAGAAAACTGGTCTCTCGCCAGTTGCGTCTTCATATGGAGGTTCTTCTCCTCCCAGAAGTGCGCCACGAACCATACGAGCTCTGAAGACACCTCTCGAAGTTCCCTCTCCATGTCATTCTGCTCAGAAGGTTGCCGGTCTCTCATTGATCCTGCCACCTGACGGAGCTTCTTCTCCTCGCCCAACTGCGCCCGGAGCGATACGACCTCCAAAGTCAACTCGCGAAGTTCCTTCGCCATGTCATTCTGCTCAGAAATCTGCTGCTCTCTCATCAATCGTGTCTCCTCATGGAGCTTCTTCTCCTCATTCAGCTGCCTCCGGAGCGCTTCCACCTCGAACATAGTCACATGGTGAAGTTCCTTCTCCTTCCGCACATCGTCACGCAGCTGGTCCCTCTCTTTCCGTGTCTGCTCAGTGCCCTGTTCACTCTCTCTCCGCAGCATTGCCGCTCTCAGCCGCTGCGAATCATGTACAAGATCTGTCATCTTCCTACGTAGCGCTGACGCCTCCTTCATACGCGCCCAGTAGTCGAACTGCCGTTTTAACAAGCAGTTCCACTGCGCACTCTCCGCATCAGAGCCTTTCCAGTCACCTGCGAGGGTTAGCTGAGATGCCACCGTCTGAGCGTGAGATACATACTTCTGAGCTTATCTAAGACTGGATATATATCGTTGTTGAGAGTCCGTAGGGAATCGGTTTTGTCCGACTGGAGTTTGAGCATGACCGTTTGCTGGGAGATGAGCGAGTCGAGTTCTGCAAGAAAGGGCGAGGGAACGACATCTGGGCTTGCTACGCTTGCTGCGCTTGAGGCTTCCGAGGTTGGGTCGGCATCAGACATGCTGATAGCGTTATTTCCGGTGGGGTTGGTGATGGTCGTAGATGTAGTAGTGGATTCAACTTGGAGAGTGCTAGGGCGAGTACCAGGTTAGGCCCCCAGAAAACAACGATGTTCGATGACTCAGCATGTTACACCAAGTAGTGATATCTAGCACCTCTGCAATGCACGGCACTTTCATTGGATATTTTTGCAACTACATATATTCGCTATGTTTCTATTGATCGGTTCGGGGGTACTAACAGTTTTATTCGAAGTATATAGAATCCGAAGTGTATATGAGGATAGGGACTTGGAAAAAAGGCTTATTTCCGCTAAGAACGTTTAAATGATACGCCAGGATTCAGGAGTAATGACCAGCCATACAGGGGCTCTTTTATATCAATTCAGTGTAATTGTATGGATACATGTATATAAGTACAAAAGAGTGATAGACATTACATATTGTGGGCTATTAAAATCGTGCGACTTCAATATCGCTTTAAACCACAACCATGGGAGAAATAAGATGAGGGGGTTTGGTTCTGCGATCCTCTATAGTTGTGATGCTTAGGGTTTTAATATGGGCTCAAGGGTGGGATTATCAAAATTATTTGCTTGGTTAATTACGAGGTGGATTCCGCCCACCTCCGATAACACGCAATACCTTATCGATTCCTTTGTGATAACTAGCTTTTAGGTTTTTAGTAGTACTCTTGTCAACCCCCAAGAGAGAAACCATGGATCCTGGAACAATGATTGCTGAGTTTCGTCTGTGAGCGTGCCCTTGCAGGCAAAGTTGGGATAAGCTTCTATGCGTGCAGTAGTCTCTAGGCGCCGTGGAACTGTGTACCTAGAATATTCAGTAAAGTCGTCGGGAAAGTCGTTTCTGGGGCCCTAATTCTCGCTGGGAAATGCCAATATTTTGGCAGAGGGAAAGTCGTTTTAAGGGAAATCGGATGACTTTACAGACGCTTTTTATATACATTAATAATATACAGATGACTTTACCGACGACTTTACTGATGCCTTTACCTGTCACGCTTCTGTCGCCCAGTTCACACAGGGGGATAAGTTTTGGCAACCGGTGATGTTTCAAATGATTGACGAAGGCCATCACGAATGAACGAATTATCACAGAGCATCCTACTATTATACCAGGACCACCCAGCCAGAGTTGCCTACATGTATATACAAACAATGGATCCACCAAAATGAAATTGTATTCCCCAACTGTTCCAAGCCCATTGATGCCAGACACCATTTGATGACCCCATCGAAATATTCTACTTGGGGACTCAACTATCTCGAGATATAGAGGAGGAGCTTCATAGGAAAACATTGATTTTCCGGCGGAAAACAGGAAACACCGGAAACCATCAGTAGGGTGGTATTTTCTTTGACTTTAACATGCCCTTAACAGGTAAAGTGTCAGTAAAGTCGTATTTTATTGCATTTAACATGCCTTCAACAGGTAAAGTCGTCAGCAAAGTCGTATTTATTGCATTTGACACGGAAAAGGCATAGTAAACTCGTCGGTAATGGGACAGGAATGCCTTTAACACACAGTAGGTAGGTTATTGCGTCGGGTATGGGAAACGTCAAAATTGATGCATTTCCACGGCTACAAGAGAGTACTAGCATTATGGAATAAGGTGTTCTTGTACTCGTAATATCACGGGGTTTCCGAACACGACCAATATTGCATGACATACAAAAAGGTGGATTTGGCGCATTTTTGTATGGTACTTGTATGTAATAGCAGACGTGTTCAGAAACGTCACGAGTTTACGAGTAGAGAGCCATAGGCGACGAGGCCAAGATGAGGATGAGATGTGTATTATTTGAGAAGGACGGAGTTATAGGTCTTGGCAAGGGTAGCGTGGCATGTTGGCTACCATAGCGGAAATGAGGGTGCGTTTCGTTCCGTATCAATACCCCAGTGCTCAGAATAATCAGTCTCAGAAAAATGCGGAGTTAAATAGGTAGGTACATCTGAGATATATTTATTTCCTAAAATGCGCATTGAGCAAGAAACCTTGTCAATTTGGGATTATTACAGGGTTGTGCAAAAGAAAATATTTTTAAGAATACGGTATCAATTCTGGATCAATTCTGTGCTAAGAACTTTTGCATGCCCGCACTGGGCGGCCATAATTCGCTAGCCCCTGTTACTATGCCGACCATAGCGGCCATCACACTTATCTGCTGTCACTACCTGCTCTTACCGTGACCGTCACGCCTTGGGCTGTTACAGACGGCCGCGTCATCAACGTCAACACATGTACAGCGGTGGGTAATAAGTGATGGAACTCCCTGAGACACAGTGATACCTGTTTTAGGTAAAACACCACCAACATACGGTGTTTGCAGGTATAACTGTACCTCAGGGCGTTCCATCACTTATTACCTACCGCTATACATGTACCGACCAACAAAGCTCTGACTGAGTGAACTAACTGGCAACAAATGTACGCATACACGCAATCGAAATCTTTATAAATATTGATCTTACAGATGGTTTAAAATTGTATATCGGAGACCTGCTAGTTTTGAGCCCTTTGGACAACATTTAGGTGTAAATACGCATTGCAGAGAATGCAGCATCTACTGAATGCTATACCAATACAGTAAAAGAATGCAGAAGTCCTACTGTATACAAGCATTTTCCGGCCTTTGGCCGGAGTAGGAACTGTTATGGCTTAAACAATATCAGTTTACCAACGCTTAAGATCACTGAAACCCCAATATGCCCTGTGCACATATCTGATATACTATTTGGTTGACTCAAGGTATGTTGGAACCAATATCTACTGGCTGACTCAAACATATTTGATAGAATATCTACTTACTGACAAACATATTTGATAGAGAAAAAGAAAACCCCTCAAACCTGGCCAATCAAAACCTTTAAATAACACATTGCATATCGGTATATCTATATACTTATTAGAAATGAGAGCATTATCCATAATAAATTTTCACTACGGTACTAAAAGTACCCCATTTCCGGTACTGTAGTTAGGATAAGAGGGGAAGGTTTCTCCTCGGGGATGATCATCAATCGAGTTACCATCGTTGAATCAAGATGCGCCATTGCACCCCCGCCAAACGGGTGGGGGTGTCGCTATAGCTGTTGCATAATCTGCATTGTGCCTCCATTACCGCGATGCATAACGGTCTTGTGCTTGGTTTTCAGCCAAGAAACGTCATGGTTGGGCCCGGCTCGGGCCGGCCCGCTGCAGGGATAACAGATTAGAGATAAGCGAAGGTCTGGTCAGAGCGCAAGAGGGTGTACAGCGCATATATATGTTGCGCTTCAACTCGACAGTGGTTAATCCCCATGCGGCTCGATAGCGAATATTCAACTACTCGTAGTTTTTTGACGTTTCCGGACGCGACCACTATTGCATGCCATACAAAAGATAGCCTTGGCGGGTTTTTTCTGTGTATGCAATAGCAGTTGCGTCCGGAAACGCTGTGAAATTGCGAGTAGCTGGATATTGTAAGTAAGACTTGCATATCTACATATAGCTATATCAATCGGCTCTAGTTAATACAGGGCTTTGCTGTTCAATTGGCGGGCTACAGAAAGAATTTGAGAGTCGGTAAATTTCCACAGGTGCAAAGGACTCATGTAAGGCTCGAGTGAGACCTCATGATCTAAGTGCCGGAATTTGATCACACGCGGCATTTTGTATAAGCACATTAATTTCTCCTAGAAAGGTTTCAAACAAAAAGTATAGTCCGGCCAGTACGTACGGGTCTTTCCCTCATGGTATGTGTTTTACTGCAGCGCATCGCTGTTAAAAACAACACTTCTCGATCTCAGCCGCACCGCCCTTGGAAAGGTCGTCGCAAGTGACCATCACCATATATCTCGAAACCATGCAACTTAACCCGATCCCTTTGACCTACAGACAGGTCTCAAATCCACCATAATACACGTCTCTAATTCTCGGTCTCTGCCTATCACTGGGAATAATACCAACGAGCTTCTATCCGCGTGTAGGCCGTGGCTCGGGGATTGTATGCCAAGCAGGAATAGTGTTCTCCATGAGACGAGACGTCTTGAAGTCTTGTCTCGAGACTCTTGCCTCGAACAGCTCGAGACCAAATATTTTTGGTCTCGAGACCGGCTTGAAATCTGCCAAGATATACTAGTGACATAGGTTTTAGGGACAAAATGGTATAGCATATCATAGTAAGTTCTCCCCTGTCGATCCTGCACCATGTGGGCCACTCCCGGGAAATACATGGACTTCAACTGACGTTTGTTACACGTTTATCGAGTAGAATTTGAGGGGCTAAATCAGGAAATAGGTAAGATCTCAATAGAAGACATAAAGACATTACTATAAAAAGCTTCTTGTTGCGGTCTTGGAGGAGGCAGAACAGTTGCAAAGGCTTGTCACGGATGTAAGAAAGAAGATTTTAACCGAAGATCATCCTGATACGAAACGAGCCATAGCCAACCTGGCCACCACCCGCAGTCTGCAGCGCCCGGGCATCTCTTCTAAAGCCCCGGAAAAGCCGTCAAGTCCCATCCACCCGAGCGCGTTTATCACGAGTCACAAATGTCCGGAAACCCCCGACGAGATTGATGATTTACTGGTTAGGTATGTTGAAGTAAGAGATTCGCTCATAAGACTTAGAACTGCTATTATTTCAGCCGGAGGAAAGGTTAGGCACAGATCACATGACGACTGTGAGAAGTAAAGTCATTGTTTGTATGGTTTTCGAGCAAATAGGCCTACACAAAGAAGCGGGAACCATGGGACAGCAGCTCATGGCCTGTTTGCGTGGATCAAAACTCTGGGACTCTGAGAGACTCCTTGGGCTGAGCAAGGTGCTACAGGATGCATGAAGTAGTGGCTGTCTTGATTTTACGGTTCATACCAATGTCTATTGGTTTTCTCCTTTTTTCGATCCTGATCATGTTTCATAGTATTCGTTTTTGTCTGTTCGGGCTTAAGTAGTTTATCACGCATGTTTGGTAGTTGTCAAGCGTTTATTGTGATAGA